CAGATGACTGGGCCTGGTTGTAGATGGGCCGAGTAAAGAATGTGGCAGGCAGCGGGGCAAGCTGATGGCGTAAAGCTTAAAGCAGTACAGACAATCAAGGCTGCTGGTGACAGAATGAGTGTGGAGCTAAGCGAGGCAGACAGGTAGCTGGTGAAGAGGTTGTGGGCCTGAAGCACAGGGAGACGAGGAGTTATTTCTAATGGGCAAATTACACTACGAATGAACTTAACTGAATAAGAAGTGAGCATAGGCTTAGTAGAAGGCAGGAAAACTGAACAATCTGGCAAAAAATAAAAAGCTAAGGCACAGCACCTCAGTTAGCAGATACTTCTCAGAAGCTGAACCGACTGAAGTAGAACGATTGGAGTGTCATGCCCAGACAGAGGCACACATTAACTAGCAAAATCAATACTTGTCACACACTTTCAAGTTTATTGACATGATATCAAATTCACTTTAATAGCTACACATTGACCTGTCGGACTTTTTTCTTTTTATATAAATTGGACCATTGAGATAAAGCTGAAAAATGCAGTATGCCATCTCCAATACTATTTTAACAGTGTGTTTACGTAGTGAAGTTCAACTTTTTTACTCCAGGCCATCCACACCTACATTCATTGTTATTTCTTTTAAAAAATCCCACAAAAAAAGTATAAGGAAATACATCAGATATTTTAAAGCAAGTAAAGAAAGTTAATATTCGTGTGTGTAAAGTCTGCAATAAAAGATCATGCTGGTGATATATATTTTTTAAATACTATTGGTGTAAACAAAATCCATGTGCAATTCCTTTAGGCGTTACTTACTAGAAAATTTAGACTGGAAAACCACGGTTAAAGATTCCGACACGTGGATATCATCATCAGCAAAAGATCATTGGTAGCTGGTCTTTTTGGGAAGGGGGAATACATCACCTACATGGGTGCTTTAATGAAATCATTTTTCATAACATCCTTGTTCTTGCCTACTGGAAGAAAAAAGAAGAGGGAGAAAAAGTAAATATACCATTTGCACCCAAATAATAATTTTGTTTGGTTTAAATGCCTTTCTTTTGAACAGTCTTCACAAAACTTGAAATAAACAAAGAACACAAAGAAAATAAAGGGGGAAAAGAATCAAAACAACTTCTCGTCCTCTAAAAAGAAGTGTGGTGGACACACTTCTTTTTAGAGGACGAGAAGTTGTTTTGCATGGAATGTATGAAAATCTTATAACATAATAACATAACTTATTTATATTACAGTGCAAAAGTATTGAGTAACCCGCTAATTTCTTTATATTTTTCAAGGAAAATGGGAGCAATGACTTATTGAAACATACCAAAATACATAAAAATAAAGTATATAAGGTGAGTTTGAATTTGTACAGGTCTGATGATCATGAATGTTTGGTATGATCACTTTTATTGTCCAACACACCCTTAACCCGCTTAGGCACGCTTTTTGCATTTCCTTTCAGTAGTCTTCAGAAATAATTCTCTCTTCTTTGGATGCTGGATGCCTTTTGTTCTGGTCTCAGTCAAGATGATCCCACACTGCTTCAGTGATGTTTATGTCCAGGCTCTGCACAGACCAATCAATGACTTATAGTGTATTTCTATCCAGGATCATTGTTGCATTCCCAACACCACTGGCTCCAATGCAGCCCCAAACAATGACTTAACCTCCACCATGTTTTACAGATAACTGTGGACCCTCACTGTTAAAACTTTCTCCAGACCTCCTCTGTAAATTCTGTAAATGTCAACCACATCCATACATATGATTGACAAATTTCAATCTTGGATTCATCATTTCATGAGAAAACTCTGAAATATCCTGAGAAAGCGTGGAGAACTATCGCTTAATTCCGACATAAATAAATAACTGATCAAAACTTTAGATCAAATATAGGACATCAGATACTTTATTGTCATTATACCATTGTTCATAGCATCACAATGAAATTAGGTCAAAGCTTACTAAAAAAGCCAAAAACCATTAGATAATATTCATATAGAATTCTTAAATAATGTAATAAAAAACATATCAAATACACAAAACCAGAAAAGAAGACAGCCTCCATATTAAAATGACTGACAGACAAACTTTGATTCTTTAAAATGCAAAGTTCTTTTGGGCAACCCTGGGTCCTGGAATTCATATTGATATTAGTTTGATATATGCTATCCACATAAACATTCTAGTAGACCAAGAACACCAAGGAATGACAACAACACTCACTGATCCCCAGGCAGCACTCTGCACTCTGCCACACAATGAAAAATGCTCAGGAAAAGCTCTGAGAACATGCAGGTACTGGCCATGTCTTCAGCCTCCTCAGATCCAAATCCAACCAAGTGTGATAACAACCAAGTGTGGTAACAAACCTAATGCACACAGCTCAAAATCCAGGTCCCAGGGGATCCACTTCAAATATCCAGTTGCGACACACCACTGTTTTGGCAGCAAACCATATTAAGCAGGTATAATAATATACCAACAAAACTGCACAGTTTTCTCACATTGTTTCCTAGAAACTAGCTTAAAAATAACAACAACCATCATCATTATCAGCTTAATAATCATAAAACAATTAAGACATTTTTAAAGTATATTTTAAATATCTTTACAGCAAGTTTGATTGTTTCACCGGTGTCCTCTGACTAAAATGTTAAGGTCTCCCAGACTAACAGTGCAGTGTCCTGATTAATTGTTTTTATATTGAGCAGTTCTGCAGCACACCATTAACATCTAATGGCAACATTCAGCAACGATTCAAAAAGTAGTGTGTCCTCTAAAAGTAGAAAGTAAGTAAGTGGAGGTCACTGTGTTGGGTGGGCATGTAGCGTGACTTTCACGGGAGAGAAAACTCAGATCAACAAGTGCTGTGTTTCCACAGGCTCTGTTTAGCCTGTAATTGTGACCTCCTGGGCCGAGCTGCGAATACATCCTGCAACACCCTACCTGACATGTGACATGTTGCCATGCTGGTGACTAGAGAGAAAGTGCAGTTTCTAAATCTACTCTGTGTTTTACTCCCAAGTCCTTTAATAGTTTATAACTGAATGTCTGTAGTTCAAAGTTGAGCTCTTAGCAATTTGAAGTATTGGGTTTATTTATCAATTGTTTTAAAGCTATATCAGAACTTTTTGCAAATGCAAACTGAACAGTTCCTGCTGTTTGCCCTCGGCATCGGTGAACCAGCAGTAGGCTTGCCAGTGGTGGTATTCTTTAATAAAAAGTGGTGCACACAATAAGATATGGCTATATTGCATTTTGCTTTAGCTGATTAATTTTAAATATTGCAGAGAGGCCTTCTACCTGCTGTCCTGCACCATACTAGCATGACTCATTTCTTTCAAAACTGTCTGAATGGATGCTGAATATTGTTAGAACTGTGTATAAAGCTTATCCATATCTTAACACTGCATTAATCATAGTTTACATTGCATTGCTACAAAACCTCAGAGTTCTGTGTTGTTCTAATGCACATATACTAAATCCCTCTCTTGGACACAAAAACAACACAGCGACATAAAGAGAAAGTGAGACCTGCCAGTCACAGCATACCAGACAGACAGAAACCTTCAGCATATTACAAGAGCCATGAGGAATATAAAGGACTGTGGGTATGAATGTTCATCTTTGTGACAAAGGGACTGGGATGAGAGAGGTGGTAAAATGCGTACATTTTGCACAGAGGAAATTTGTTGAATACACTCTTGTACAGTTTGCACAGGGTTAGAACCTATTGGTCCACTAAGCAGATATGGAGACCAGTCTGCCAATTACAGACACCAGAATATAAAGGTCATTAGCAGCTCAAAAGGCCAGAAAGGCAGTCCATCCTCTGTATTATGATGGTTTCTTTTGTTCAGAAAGGTTTTCTGTAGCCACAAGAAACTGGTTGGGTACGTGTCCTGCTTATACTAATAGGCTGCAGGCAATAAGTTGACCCAGATTAATGGGGATGCAAGGTCCAGTTCTTGGACATAGGCTTGTCTGCCCTTTTTAGCTAGGAGACCTTTTTGGGGAGCAGGTGGGGGGCAGCACAGTTGAAGAAAAAAGAAGCTAGGTTCAGCTTTTGTGAGACATTTTGATTCACACTGAAAACCTTTTGAATAAACATTTGATTAACATTAACCTCGAGTTTTCTTTTGGTGAATTTTCTCTTTTATAGTCTCAGAAAAATTACTAGATTGGCTGAAAACAAAGGCTACATTTCTGGTGAGTTTGCCAAATGCCAGCCAGTATTGAAATTGTGTGAGCCTCAGAGTCTCATCCCGTAACTCCACATGTCAACAAAATGAAAAGTTCTGTTTAACATCTTTGAACTTCTGTACCCACATAAAGGATTTAAACCCCTCCAGGCCTCACTGTGGCAGATGAAGTCTTTGCTTCAGATTATCACAAAGAAAAAAAAAATTCAATGTACATCTGTTAAGACATACCACAAACCTCGATACTATTCAAAGTAATCAGCAAAATGCATGACTAATGGTGTATTAATATAAATGGAAAGTATTTTGCTATTAAAACACCATCTGTTGAGTCATGTTAAAAAATAGTCGCTTCGTTCTTCATTTCTTTCTTTCTTAACACACTTTTCTTAATACTTGTCCCGGTCACCTGGAGCTTTAAGTCGCCTATATGTCGCACAGGCTACCTTGTTTTAACCAACCCTGACCTACTCCATTTACTCAAACTACGCACATTCGTGCAACTGGTTAACTGGAGAAATCTATTAATGAACATATGTTAAAGCTACATGCTTGTAAAGCAATGCTGGAAGTTTGATGGCTGATGTTTGACGAGTTTGCCATATGTTTGGGCATACTGTTTCATCCGACCATAAAACTGCGACGCCTTCGCAATAGGACATGGATTTGAAATGTCGGGGTCCTCGGAAAGACGTTAGCAGTGCGGCTGTTTGATCCAAAGCGCCAACGAGTGTTTCTTTAAGTGCGTGTGTGGAGTTTTCCTGCACCGAGTGATAGGAGGGGTTGGAGAGTGACGCTGGCTGCGCCTTGGTGCTGAGCGGAGCGCTCACCTGCAGATGAGAGAGCCGGGGAAACTCGGGGCAGCACACTCACTAAGCGCGCAGAGGGACGTAACTAACAGTCTGACCGAGAAAGGGGGAATAATTTTTGGAAAAGAAAAATACGAACCGACCCTCTTTCTGGTTCTTTTGTCCGGGCAGCATTGAGTCGCTTCCTCGCCACGATGAGAACTGACTTCGCTCTGGTCCTGACAGCAGCCCTTCTGCTTGACACATTCTGGGTGAGATTTCTCATTTTTTACTAAAGCTTCTGATACAGCACATAAGCTCGAATAAAGTCATGCAGCCAGAAGGAAGCCGTGGTGTGTGTTGGTACAGCAGCGCGGGGCTCGCCGTTATCCCCCTACAAGTAGGCACGCTAATTGGTTCCCTAATGAATTTCAATGTATAAAAAGAAAAAAAGTAAGTCTCGAGCTCCGCTCCGTATAAGCCTTGTCATAATTTCTCTAAATCGCTGGCAGGTCATCATCATTTGTCATACACAACTTAAATCACGGCACAAGTTATTCACCCAAGGTGATACCTTTATTCTTTTCTCAAACTGACTTGGTCATGTCGCTTATTTAAGCTACAGCCCACCATCCCCTTAAGTTTCACTTGTCAAAAAAGCTATGCCTTTGCAAAAGTTAACTTTAAAGTTATGTAGTGTTTTTCAGCCTTTTTCGTCATTTCATGAATCCAGAATTAAGTCGGCGCCAGTGGACTATTAACGGAGCTCCGAGTAGCTCCTAAATCTTTCTCTCTCCGCCGCCTCAGACGGAGGCAATTGCTCTCCTGCTATATGGATATCGGAAAAAGACTGAAAAATGTTGTGCTCCTGCGGTATGCCCCCGCAGTGTGTTGAACCTCCATTCCTGTCCAGCCAATCTTGCTAGTGTGTGTGTGTGCGTGCGTGTGTGTGCGCGCGTGCATTTGCTTGTGTGCCACGGCTGTAGTGGGTCAGATCGTTTAATTTAAACAACAGTGAGCGCTAAACGCTGGGTGCAAAGTTGACTGCAGACCGTTTGATTAGTGCGCACAGGCGTGCTGCCCCCCCCTCATAGCCCTGGACCTCTCCGTTAGTACAAGACCCACAATAAGCAGGGAGACAATTATTCTGCATTCATGCAGGTTTCCTCTGTGCGCGTGCTGCCTGTGTGTGCGCGCGCGTGTGTCACTTAAGCCCGAGTACAATACTTTTAACTACATCTGTCCTCATTTTGTCTGGGGTGGTTTCTTCATGGAGCGACTAACACAGCACATTTTATCACTGACATTGGACTGTGTGACTATTTAATCAGCATTACACCTAGCCACGAGCAGAAAGAGTTGATAAACTTGTTGAATTTATTTCTGCTAACTGTTCTTCTTTATGCTGCTTTTCTCCAAAGCTTGGAGCCAAAAATGAGGAAAGAAATCAATGGAATCCATGTTTATCGATTTCTTTAAATGTATTTTTTTTTTCTTCCAGAGGAATAATGGGGTGCACGCTTCCAAAGGTCCCTGCCAACCTGGCTTCTCACAAAGCTTCTACTCTGTGCTGATTTCAAGGGATGTACTGCAAGGTCAGGGCATACTTAAAGGTAAGCCCTTTAATTAGCAAGTCAGTTATTTTGCATTCTGTCAAGGCTAGAGAGAGGGTGAGCAAAAGACCTCACTGTTTGCACTGAAGGAAGTAAAAGGAGGTGTGTATGGTGATGTGTTTTCTTTCAGTGCTTGGCCACGTTGCTTTTAAGATTACCGAAGCACCACTTGTGCATTTGGAAAATTGTGGTAAAAGTGAAAATGTAAAAATAATCATTTTAGTCACATGGGTATGTACATGTGAAGCTCGGTGTGATGTCAGAAATTGCAAACTGGAGCAATTTTGTGCTTGTAATTACCCTGGTCTGTTGTTGCAGTGTGATGTTGTAAAAATATAACTCATGTAGAAGCGCACATCCATGCATTTGTTTATATTTTATGCAATGATGCTGTAAATGTTTGCCTGTTACTTTTGGGTTATACCCACTTGCATTTATTTTTGTGTTTTTGACCTTGTTCAGTGTCTTAAGAGTATTATCATCATCTTTATCGTCATTACAGTAATTTTTAGCACTATCATCTTCACACTCTGTCTTTCCCAAATGTATTTGTATTGTTCCAATTACACAATGAGCCAACCAAGTTTGAGGGCCCTATAGTGCAGGAAATGGAATCGACATCCTGTGTCTAATCTGGCACTGCTCCTGCCAATGTGGGCTAATTGCAATTCTCTATTGATTCCAATGGTTTTTTTTCTCATAGCTCAGCTAAGCTGTATTGTTTTGCTGTGGGCGCACAATAGCTCTTTTGTGGGTCGACTGTGTCTTCGGCAGCTGCGCGGTATATATTTCTCACTCTCCTTAGCTGTGAGAGACCTGCCGGGGATACAGCTGTCTAGACTCTCTTTCCTGAGTGTGCGCGTGCACAGACGCACACACACATACACCAGTGAAATTTTGATTTAAGGATATATAAAATGATACAGTACATTATATTTTGCTTGTTTTATGTTATCTGTCTATATGTGTTCATTGCTGGAGTGATATAAGAGTGAAAGAAGATATCAGCTTGATTTTAGTGTTTCATTAACTTCAGCATATTATATCTTGGCTGGGAGTGGGATTGAATGCGGGACATTGTCACTGGCAGTGAACTTGCTCTCAGTGTGGTAGTGATGTCTTCAGCCCAGCAGGGGGTGTCAACACAATCACAAACAATCACGGAATGAGCCATCACTGCTGCACAGAAGCCATTTATTTCACAGAGCATTATTTATCTAGTTTGGTCTCAGGTAGAGTAAATTGTCTCTCTTTCTCACTCTACACATAAACTAATCTTTAGTGGTCTAACATGGTTGCTTTCAGTGTTAGGAATTCATTTTACCACTAACAACAGAGGCCTAAGCATCATTTTCATGGCACTTTCCCTCCTAATGTAAACCATGCTAAAGTCAGGTTCGAGTGATCACAGCAAACCCATCATGATATCTGCTCATAAATCAGATTTATAGTTTATTTGCGAGGTTACTTTCAAGTCACACGGAAAGCACATTCTTAAAGTTTTGCATTCAATATTTTTCATCGGCGTTGCTTGAAATGTTCACAGCTGCCAGTGTCATCTTCATGTGTGTTTGAGAATACAGCTGCAGTGGTCAAGCAGACACACACACACATTTAGACAAGCGCACACTCATTCCATGTGATTTGCAGGACTCAGGCAGCTGATTTATAGCTGGTAAGGGTGTCACTGGAGGAAGGCAAGGGAGCAGCTCTGGAAAGACTTTAATAATAACATTATTTAACCCAAAACCGTCAGATAGGGGCAGAAGTAATGACACCCACTCAGGCACACATGCCTGAGTGGGTGTCTGTATATATATATATAAATAATTTGTGTGTGTGTGTGCTTGTGTGGGAGTCTAATCTCACTGGGGAGACTAATGGGGAGGACAGAACTGGGACCTTGACCGTGATGGGTAGAATGCCTGAGCCCACAGAGCAGGTCAGTAACCGGAGATGGAAGGTTTTACAGTTCATATTTTATCATTTTCAGTTACTCTGATGACCAAAATTTCCTAAAACAATGTTCAAGGCCACAGTGAAATCTCTTTGTAAAGTCAAAATGAAGTTTGTATGGAACCACGATATTCCAAAGTTTGTGGAATGTTATTTATTTATTTAATTTTTATATTGTGGTTTACATTTGACAAGAAAAATGTTATTGGTATGTTTATAGTCAGCCGTCAGCCATTTATATTTTCTTTCTTTTGGGTGGTGTTAGTTTGGTCACTTAGAGATTCTCAGTCCTCTTCTTTGTCTTCTTCATATTATTATTATTATTATTATTATTAGTAGTAGTAATATTGTTCTTGGTCTTTTTGGAACAATGGTGCTCATTTAGATCATCCTCTAAATATTCTGTGCATTGTGGCCAACTGTTTCGCTGACAAGCACAATCTATCCAATAAACATTAAAAAGAATTAATTCTGCATGCTGCATTGTTCTGGCTGTGGGAATTGATCTGCTCTTTATTTATCTGGAAACCCATGGCAGTTCCAAAGTTAATAGCTGAAACACACATTAAACAGCACACTGCATAATGGATTCTGATTGATTATAAGGCTGCTCTAAATGCAACACTTTTGAGGATTGTTATACATTTAACATGCACATATTAGCAGCACACTCAGTATTGATAATGGCAAATGCCATGTTTGTCTTTATAGTTATAGGAGGGGTTCAATTCAATTCAATTCAATTTTATTTATATAGCGCCAAATCACAACAAAAGTCGCCTCAAGGCGCTTCATAGATACAGAGCACTTTGGCGACAGTGGGAAGGAAAAACTCCCTTTTAACAGGAAGAAACCTCCGGCAGAACCAGGCTCAGGGAGGGGCGGCCATCTGCTGCGACCGGTTGGGGTGAGAGAAGGAAGACAGGATAAAAGACATGCTGTGGAAGAGAGACAGAGGTTAATAACAGATATGATTCAATGCAGAGAGGTCTATTAATACATAGTGAGTGAGAAAGGTGACTGGAAAGGAAAAACTCAACAGGGTTTAAGAGGGTGAGTTATTTGTGTGTGTTTTTTCCTAATATTGTTAGTATATGTATGCATGACACATCGAGTGCTAACGATGTCCCGTTTTGTATGCCTTGTTTTGATCAGACCTATGACAGCTTCTCCTAGCACATTATTCCAAGACCTTTAACACTGAATAATTACTTGTAAAATCAGTATAACACAAGTAAACACAACTCAGAGAAAGGTCCTATTTCTTCTCTGTTTCTGCAGACAAACAGTCAGTTGTACAATAATTTAAAGTGTTGATGCTTGGATCAACACATTTGGAGTTTTTGTATCTCGCAGATGAGAGAGAAGCTATGAGTTGGACTCAAGCCAACCCAATAGAGATAAACAGAGCTGGTGAATGTAACCTCATCCCATGTGTCCCTGCATCCCTTTGCTGATTCTGTTCCTGGTAATGAAAGCCAGGGTTGGTGGTTTCAGCTCAGTGAGCCCACTCTGCTGACCTTGGACTTTGTTTGGGTTACTGGTGGTTTTGGGCAGCCCTCACTTTCTGTGTTTGCGACTGTGGTGGTATTTGTCTGAGTTTAGTGAGAGAGGAGAGGGAGAGAGAGAACATGGGGACGTAGTTGATGAATTCTGATATGCGAGGTCCTTCTTTTTTGACATGTCAGTACCTGAGCTTTAAGGATGCTGACATCCACGGTGCAGCTTCTCAGAAAGAACTGTAGATTTTTCCTGCAGTTGTCAATGTTTCTAGAACCTCCACTGATGCTCGGTTTCGTGCTGAAAACGAGACCCCTCCAGTGATATCAGCCAGAGCGTCTGAATGTCTCTATTAAAGTTCTGTTTTTAACAGAATGGTTTTCCTTTGTCAGGGTTACTGTTGTGCTCATAAACCTGTTTTCTGATCCACAAAGCATTCTTTCTCTATATCTCATACTCGCTCTCTCTCTTCCGCTCCCTCCCATGCGCACACATAAATATACACCAGCTCTCACCTTAGATAGGGATGCTACCAGTCAGTAGAAATTCCAACTTCAGTTGATGCCATATAAATCTATGACTTGCCTCTCTGACCCACATCCTTTCTCTCTCCCCTCAGTGCCACTTTTTTCTTGTCACATTTATAGTATTTTCTAGCATACTCTGAGTTTTGCTCACTTTGAGAATGCCCTAATACGAGCAAATATACAACAGAGAACTTCGAATTCTGAATAAAACAAAACGTTAAGAGCTGTAATTTTTTCCAGGATATTATTTCCCGAAAATCTCTCCCAGCAGCCAACTCGAAGGCCCTGGGTGATGAGTCTCACATGCCTTGGTTAGTGAGGCTTTCCTATGAGACTTAAGGTGATTTTTCAAAATCCAATAGCTGGGCTGTTATTGCTATAGGCTTTGCATTCTTAACATCATTTTTCAACTTGAAGCTCAGAAGTTGATATACAGTAAGTATCAATTTCACCCCCAGTTTAATGCACAGAACTATTTCCATATGAAAAAAATGGCACGCCATTACAAATACGCTAACAGATGCTGTGCCTTACAGGTTTTAATAATATGCCATGAATTAGGGTAACATTTCCTGCCCTTCTCATCAAAATCAAAGCTCACACACATGCTTTAATGGTTATGAGCACTGATGATGAAGGGATGGAAGTCTGCTTCGAAGGCTTCAAAATAAAAGATGAGATTACTTTTAAGACTTTCCATATGCATGGGCAATGCAGCATTTTGTTTTCTATCCCTACACCCTTAAACACAATTAGATGCTTTTGATGACCTGTTTTGCCCCAAATCTCTTGACACACAGCCTGTAGTTTTATCTGGATCGATAGCAGACAGGTGTCCTCATGGAGATTAGATTTTGCAGCCAATGCATGTGCAGACTTTAAGAAGTTAAAAAAAAAAGACGTGGATATCAAATGCTTCATGATTGGGTCATTATTTATTAACTTTACAGCATAGTAGCTCCAAAACTAGTGAATAACTTACAGTAAAAACATTGCTGAACTCTACAGTACCATCTA